CGGCCAATAGTTATGTAGTGTCAATGTGAGAACGAGTGATGGATTACCCCTTTAAGCTCTCTTTGGCTCTGCTTGGATCAGACACTGATTGTGTTTGTGGTGTTTCCGACAGAGACGTTGCAAAGTTCCCTGTCTCTTTATTACCTTTTACATTTTCGTTCATCATTTTAAATGTGAATATATCAGATAATATAGCAAATATCTAATACTGGGTGATCTATCACCCTGGCAAATCTAATAATTAACAGTGAGTAAGTATTTAGGGGGGAAAACATCTATCAAATGAAATCAACATAATACATTAAATGTCTAAAGAAGATTCAGCTAAAGCACTGACTAATATCACAACATCCAGTTTGGTTCTGATCGAAGCAGATGGAAAGTCAGTCTCATCCACCTTTATATATAGAGATTGAAAATGTGACGTCATTCAGGGGTAAAACCGCAAAGGATTCTGGGAACGAGTGGCAAGCGGTACTAGCGCACGCAGGCTTTCACATGAAAACAGTCACACGGAGATAAAAAGAATCACAAAAAATAGCACGAAGCTGTTGTGTTATTAACTGACATGCGACCGGCACCGATCTCTTTACCCATCGGCCTTTTCGTCAAGTCTGTCTTTGTACGGACCTGCCGTGTTCTCCGTGGTTTTGTACATAACTGTTTTTGGGGGAAATAAAATGCAAGTAGGGATTAAAAACGCAGAATTAATAATTACCGGTCCTGGAAATACTAGCACTGGATGCAGTGTTTTGATTTTGTTGCCACGGGTACCCACAAAGCAATGCGCGAAAGTCATGTGGCCTGTCAATCTGTATTCTGACACAGAACGTCTCCCAAGACACAAAATGACAGTATTTTTCATGTTTTTCTGCTGTTTGTTCCAATGGTGTTGATTATGCAACACTTCACACTTCAGTGAGCCCCCCAATCTTTTTTTGTGCTTCGTCCAAATGTTACCTCAGCAGCTGCAGAGAGGGATGCATTTAAGGTGTGCAGATAGAGCTCTAAAGACTGGAGTCAGATTTGTGTGCTTTCTTTCTCTTAAATTGCACTATAAACGATGGAAAGTTGCCGTGTGGCTTCTAACCAGCATCTAGCATTTCTTAAGCACAAGCATCAACGAGGGTGCTGGGATACAGAGGTGAGAGATGAAAAAACGAGATAAAAGTGGAGAACTCAAAGCATGGGAGTAAAAGTGCTTTGTTAGAGGGCTTTAATATGCATAAGAGAACCAGTGGAGTTGGTGTTTGCATTGTTGAACATTACCATCAGGTGGCTGCAGCTTGTCTGTTAATCTAAAATCTGAACATGTGAAAAAGGAGCAGCTGAAGGTTTATGATCATCCACCAGGTTTGTTAACATGATGCGTGCTCCACCGTTATTGACTGAATTGCGTGTTTTGTTTTGTTTTTTGTTTTGTTTTTTTTGTTTGTTTGCTTGAAGAGGCTTGGCTATATTTAGATTTGTGAACGCATGCAGATTCACCCCCAAATTGCCTTATTTTGTGGAGAAGAAAGGTTTTACAGTGAATTAGGTTGTATTTATGGCTGTATCCAGATAGCAATGAGCATTCCTTTATTAGCTCTTTTATGGGTCACATTTGGTCTTAACTGTTTGATTGGCCTTGTCTGTAGGCCCACAAAACATGGGCTTAGTCGGGAGTAGCGTGACTGCTTTAAACATGTTTATGTTCCACCTGAGCTGTAATTGACAAAAGTCACACGGATTTGGCTTGTGTGTGTCTGCAAATCGTGAGGAAGACAGGAAGGGGGGGTAACAAGTCACTGGATAACATCATGTGCGAATTCAGTGTGTTGTATTTGCTTCTCACCTTGTGTAAGCTGTTGTCAGCACTTTACACCTATTTTCTCCTGTCCTACTTTCGCTGTTCACATATCATGTGTTTTACAGGGAAATTCCCAGGAAAGGTTTTTGTCCTTAAAATGTTTTTTTTTTTTTACTCTGTTACTGTTGTTGTGCCTGAAACGTGCATCAATGAGACCATGTTAACCAGCAGTAACCACATTAACCTCAGGAGACAGAAGGCTGTGCTTCACGTCCTAATTAGACCTTTGTTTTGGGTTCTTTCTTCCTCCTTTTCTTTTTCTTTTTTGTTTGTTTGTTTTCCAATTCCAGATGTGTTTGATTTTCAGGTGCTTGTTAGGTTCAGACACCTGTAGTGAAACTAGGGAGCAGGTGGAAGAGATCCTGGAGAGGTGGAGGTAAGCGCCGGAGAGAAGAGGGATGGAAGTACATGTGTGCATGAGTTCAAATACCCGGGATCGACCATTCAAAGCAGACGGTGCCCAAGAGAGGTGACAAAGAGAGTGCAGACAGGTTGGAGTGGGAGGAGATGAGT